ATATATCTTCAATATCAAAAGAAACGCCATATTAGAATTTAAGATCAACTAATTAATGCACCTATTTCTCACCAAAATATTGTAAGTTTGAATCCTCACCTTCACATATTGTATTCGGAAAAAGAAAAAAAATAAAGAAAAGAATTAGGCTTTAAAAGTACTACTCTTAATAGCTTGCCCCTTGTGTTGTGCTCATTTAGGAAGATGATATCTTCCTTAAATGTCATTTGATAACTTCTCTTTGGCATAGATTTATGTTTTTTTCGAAAAGGTGGTATCATTTCATTGAGAGATATGTGAGAAACATACCTACAAAAGAAGGGCCTAAAAAATGGTAGCTATAGATTTATGTTTATTCTTCCCCCAACAAAGTCATCTTGACTAGAGAAGAATAGAACCATATTTATATATTTAGCTTCACCTTTATTGGGAAGAAATTGTTACATTCTGGACCAAAAGATCTACTATATTTTGTAATTATAATTATGACATCGCTTCCATTGTCGTTGATTACAGTGGTCTTATATAAACTTTACCCACATCAACAAATATAATGGTTTCTCTAAAAATATATATATAGTGTGTTTCTGAAAAACCTGAAAAAACAAAGCAGTAGAAATATGATCTTTTCTAAAAGATGAAGATCGCTAATCACAAATAATAAAAGATGAACCTAGAAAGAAAGAGAGAAAAAAAAGAAGACATGGGCTTGATTAGAAATACCGCATTCCCCCATAGCCAAATAAATAAATAAATAATTGTGTCGCAAAATTAGTCATACTTAATTATCCTGCATTTTTGTACCCAGAAGAGAAAAAAAATGCTGCATTTGATGCGTATTCTCTTATAATATTATGTGAGTGCATGCATAGGTATGATTTCTTAAATATATTATTTTGTTATATTGATCATTATCAATACTCTTACAAAAATAAATTAAAATATAGCAAACTCAATATACTATTCTTGCATTATTTCCAACCACACTAACCTTATATATTAAAGGATTTGATAAGAATGTGAACAAAAAATTGCCCCTTTTATTTTATTCCACTTTGTACATTGAAAAGTGCTACTATTGCTCAATGAAGCTTAAAACACATGGTGTAAGCCCCAAATTTAGGATTTATAACTCGGATTCAGCCCCGGGTAGCCCCGGCCCTTCATCTACATCCCAGCCAGGCTGCACCATCTGCTCTGTTTTGTACTCACTCATATGCTTCTTTCAAAAGTTGTCGCGGAGGTTGGTTCGAGCCAAGCACACACTTTTTTTTTAAGATACAAGACCATTTTTGAAGGTACGTGAGAAACATACCAAAGAGGGGATGCTATATAAAAGCGCTCCAATTAAGAGATATGATCGAGATATCGTAATTACAAAAGATGGTAGATTTGGAGGACCAAGGCGAAGCTAAGATCTTTATATTCTCCCAAAGTCGGTTGCTCGATTTTGAAGAATTTTGCAAAAAGTCTATTGTTTCTTTCCAACCAAATGGACCATAAAGTACATCCTACATCATATGAGGCGAAAGAGTTTCCTTGATAAAGGCCTCAACACACTTAATTTTGAAGTTTTAACGATTAACCACAAAAAAAAAAAAAGTAAGATTTACCTTGTTGGTTCAAGTAATTACTATCAAACTTTCAAATATTTTTCAACCATGCCTACACGATGTTAGCCTCTCATTTGGGTGTGCATCGATTCATTCATCTATCTCTGTAGAAAAAAGTTGTTAACATCAAACGAATGAGAGAGAGATTTGGATTTTGTTTCAAAAAGGCCATGATACAGGATATCAAAAGTGGGAAATTTCCAATACAAAAAACTGCAAAATTTTACCTTTCCGGTGGATGGAAAACATAAACAAATAAGTCTCTCCCCAACAACTATTCTGTGATGAATTATAAATATATGAAATAGTGATGATACACCACGAGAGATCTCACAAAATTATTCCCCAAACCTAATAATAATTCCATATATTAATTTAAAGAACAGAGAGAGAAACACGACATCTGATGTCCCATGTGCCCAACTGTTCCTTCTCTGTGTCTTCTGAAACCTATCCAACTCACCACTGGTTCCTGTGCGAAGAAGACAATAATTCCCACAACCATATTTACCTTTTTAAACCCCATCTTCTTCCATGAATCCTTCCTCAAAACCCAACCCAAAAACAATCTCACTTTCCCCAAAAACCAACACTTCTCTCTCTCTTTCCTTTTCACATGCATCGTACAAAACAAAACCCCATCAAAGACATTCTTCAATTATTAACCTTTTGCACCAAAATATTTGGTGGGTATTTCTTTTATTCTTCTTCTTTTTCTTTCCATTTTCCATAAATTTAACTTAACTTTTCGGGGGGCTACCTTCCCTAAACTTTTTTTTTTCTCTAAATGTGCCCTCATTCTAAGCATTTGCTAATTTATGAGTTTTCATCATAGTTTGTTCTTTAAGGAAACATAAGATGCTGAGAGATAAAAGTGAATAATCATATTTCTTGTATCATAAAATAGTAATATTTACTACTTATTGGACCTGCGTCATAAAATCTAGCACTTTTTAGCTTCATAGATATATGTCATACTTATTGTACAATGTGAATATGGATCCGACGCTTGATAGACTGTATCTAACTTTTGTGAAGTATAAGAAATATACATAAATAGTAATAAAGGACAAAATTTTAAGCATAAAAATGGGCGTAATTAACCTTGTTGACTTTGAATTTTCTTGACGTATAAAAATGATATAGCCTTCAAAACATTTGTATGGTTTAATAAACGTATCATCTTGTCATGTCTCGTGTCTCTATGCGTACTTCTTTAAGTTATATTAATGTAATGAAATATATCGATACATTAACTTTCTTTTCTACTCACTTCTTTCCCATTAAAATTAATTATTTTTAGTTGGAAATTTTGTTTTTCTGACTTGAATGCTGTCATATCTTTTCCATACATAGAAAAGTGATTAGTAGATGCAAATTTGAGTAGGTTGTTTGTTTCTTTTGCTCCAAAGCAAGCTAGGGGGAGACCAATAAAAAAAATGGCAGAGTTTGATGATCAAATGAAACTCCCCCATTAAAAGAAGGGGGAAGAACAGAGCCCTGGAGTTATATTCATGTTGTTTCCTGCGCCAATTTAAGCAGTGGCCTATAATTAGGGTTCCGTAGGGGAATTGGAATTTATCCATATTCATAAAACTTTTGAGGGCTTTTCAGAATTTGCAAATGGGAGATTTTATTGCACAAATACATACAGAAGAAGAAACAAGAAAGTGACTGAGATGGCGACTAGCAGACGTAGTGATGGTTTTTCTCTAACACATCATTATAAAAAATAAAAAATAAAAAAAGTGATGAATTTTTTTTTGCAATACTTAATTGTTGATTCCCTGGAGTTGTTGGGAAAGTTTTGGACGGATTTATAGAGAGAAAATAAATAGATCTGTGATGAATGATGATGTGGGGGATAATAAAACCAAGAGAAAAGGGAATCAATGTTCTCAAGTATCCGACTTTATGTGGGTTTAATTTAGTTTAGTTTTTTTTTTTTTTNTTTTCATGGTCTCTGATGGAATGTCATTGCCATATTGATTGGAAAAAGAGTCTGATCATCATTCACACCTTTTCATGCACACATTTTTTCTCCCTTTGAATGGAGTCGTAATGCAAAAGGTATATGTATAAAATATTTAAAATATTGTAAAATTTCTTTAATTTGTCTTCCTTAAATTTTTTTGAATTGAGGATTGGGGAGGTAAGAACTAAGAAGTAAGACCCATTTATTTACCCAGAAATCGTAATCGGAGTGAGTCGAAATATGAATTAATGTTGTTCTTTTGATGGTGCTTATCAAAAATTTTCTAGAATTGAAATCCGTAGTAACCAATTTTAATTTATTTTATTACTAATTTATTGATAGTAAGTATTTTTTTAATTGTAACAGTTTGTTTAATAGTAACAAATAATAAATAATTAAAATAAAGTTAAATCAACTAAAATAATTTTTTATTAGAACAACCATCATTTAATATAAAATATTATTCAAATTTAATAATAATAAATTCTATTTTAAAAATTTTATTGATATTAATTAATTAAAATTAAAAAATTAAATAGAAATTTGTAATATTTTATAATAAAATCATACACCCACGGGAGTTGTTTACATTTTATTAGGAAAAAAATTATTAGTAATATAATAAAAAAAGAAAATAATAAAAATGTAAAATAATTAATTAAAAGGTTGTGTATCTCATTAATAGACAGGGAGAGAAACAATAAAAGTTAGAAAGTAATTGTAGTAAAAGGGTGGATAGAATAGAGGATGAGATTGATGAGATTACAGGGGAGGAGAATGAAATTCCAAAATTTTGAGATAAGTTTTACTGTTTGATTTCATTTCGTAAACATAATCAAAGGGAATGAAAATTTTGGTTCTTAAAATTTTTCTTCTCGGAAAAAAATTTCTATAACTCCGACTGTGTCCTTAAACTCAAGCCGGAACAATATGGTTGACTATTCTATATGGTAGGAGGTACGAGAGGGATGAGAGCGATTATCACAATTGAATAGTTTTGCTTCGAAAACAAACCCTAATCTCGTGACGTGACCTTCTCTCTCTCACTCTTCAAATTTAAAATATATGAATGTATTCTGTAAGGCATCTTCTTATTTATGAGCTTCTTCAAATCTCAGACTGTACTGGATATAACAGATCCCACTAAATTATGTACGCCATATCCAAAACCTCTTGCACACACGATGCTTAAAAAGCAACACAATCAATTTTCATTTTTCATTGCGAGAAAATTGCAAGTAGGACTAAAAAAGGGTTACAACTTACAAGAAAAAGAAAAAGGTTCAATATTTTTGTGAGCAGAAAACGATAAAATGGGGCAGAAGTTTAGATAATTAGCATAGAAATGATCGAACACAAACTCTTAAATATTCCAGAATATATATATTCTGATCGCTTCAATCGATACGCAATTTACAAATGTATATATCTATATGGGCATTTTATTGAAAATTAGCAAGAAAGTTTCCAAATTTTTTCAATCCCCTTAGCTTGTAGTGATCAATATTGTTAAATTTTGCTACAAACTTGCTGGTAGAAGAGGTATTCGAAAGAAGAAGCCCAGTGAAGAACTGACATCAGAAGAAGAAAAAAAAGAACCAGAAAGGAATCCAAAAGGAAAATAAACAACAGCGAAGCAAACTATAGATAAAATTCACGGCGGTGCAATTTTTATTTTAGCTTTGGCTTTGGCCGGCCGCCACTGCCACCGCCACCGAGCCTGAGCTCAAGATCCAAGTCCTCGACGGAGCCATGGCTGAGTCCAAGTACCTCTGATCGAAAAATGAAAGCCACCGTCGAGGCCGCATCTGTTCTCTTTCTCTTGCAACAAACTGCATCGATATTGTCCATGAGATCACTTGCTTTTTTGGAAAGCTCTGAACTTTGATGAAATTTATTGAGGGTTATTGGGGTAAGATCAGATTTTTCCACGTTTTGCGTGGGCAAGACTGAGAGGAAAGAAGAAGATGAAGATCTAGGGTTAGGGTTATTGTAGCCGACCAAATTATCATCGCATACCGTTTCAGAAGATGGGGTAAAGGGAAAGGGGTTGTTTTGTGGGGGAATTTGATGGGTTTCAATCTGGGGTTTGAAAGATTCATGCTTTAATCTCGCCCGGTCACGGCGGTGAACATTCATGTGACCGCCGAGCGCTTGAGCAGATCGGAATTCCCTCTTGCAAAAGCTGCAGGAGTAGGATCTTGGCGGCCAAACGCAGCCACTGCCACTGAGATGCCCGGCGGTGTCCTCCGCGAAAGCTTGTTCCTCCCACGAATCGTCGAAAGACGAAGAAGCTTTTGATTGATCAAAGTGATGATCAGAACTACCGGCCGTCAAATTCCTCTTGATGGTCTTCTTCTTGTTTTCCCACATCATCCAGCAGCGTTTGGGCTCTTCCATCTCCATCAGAGCAGCAAAACCAGACAGTGGACTGAAAATTAGCTCAGAGAAAAAGGTACTGAAATTGACATGGGAATAATCATAGGAATGAAATCAGGGAGATGTCTTGTTTTTCTTCCAAGACATGAGAAAACATTTTACATGGGTGTCTGAAAAAAATATTGGATATATAAGCTGAAATGGGTGTGGGGAATTAGGGCCAAGTTGATTGAAAAATTGGAGAGAAGTGGTGGGTAGCTAGGGTTTCTCTTTTAATGATCTATAGCTACTTCTTTTGGTTTTTTTTTTTTTTTCTTGTAGCTAAGCTAGGCCTGCCCTTAGATGGATTCCACTCAGTCCTCTCCATAAATGTCTTCAGCTTAATTCTTTGCTTTAAAAAAAATTATTATTAATTATTATTATTTTTTGGGGTTCCAAAACTGAAAGGATTAAAAATTCACTTTGTCTGTGGGTCCTTGGAAGTCATGCTTTTTGGGATGAGATTAGGGTTGGCTAACTGAAATTATCTGACTGAAATCTGCTCAAAGATATCACTAAAACAACTCATAATTAACTAATAATTAATTCACAAGTGTGTGTCTTCTTTCAATTATGGACAAATATTTCATTCAATGGATCTCTGGTTATATTATGATACATTTTACTCTTGTTCACAGATCAGGGGTAGGGTGTGTCCAATTATTAATCATATGCTGATCAATAACTTTTATCTGTGGATCAAGTTGTCTATATGAAATAGTAATTAACAAGATGTTAATTATATATTTAACATTTTCAAGAAATGTTTGAATCGCAATTTTTTAATAGGTAAAGTTTGTGAAGTTTAGAGTTCGGAAGTCTGAATTTATGTAATTTATATTTTGATTAATAAATGTATGCATTATATAAACTTGGGATTTATGTAACTTTTATTTCTGTTTGATAGGTGAGTTTATAATTTGTAAAAATTAATATTTAATACAAAATATGAGTTTCACAAGCACCTTAGAGTAAATCCACGAATCTCACTGGATTAACAATAAACTCATGCTAGAAAAGTTAATCCACACATCACAAACATAAGTTTAACGTTTAATTTTGACTTGTGAGCAAAAGCACCTTAGAATTTAACGTCAAGTCTAAAAGAAATATGGTTTTAAAGGGTGATTGATCAAATTATTAATAAAAAAAATTATTAAGTTAAAAGTTAAAAAAATTATATGGTTTTAAAGGGTGATTTTAAATATGCATACAGGATGAAAATTTTTAAAGGCAAGTAATGAGTTATTACTTTTAAGATTTCGAAATTTTTT